TTACTGTTTTAAAAAATGGTGTTCAAAGTTATATTCTCCAAAACGATTTTCTATTTGAAATAGATGTTTCCCAAGTGGAAAACTAAGAGTACTTGAGACATAAAACTTCCACTAGTAAAAGTATTTAAGAAAAAACTTTTTTTTTCTGGAAATCTCTTCAAAAGATGGATGAATACATTACATCAGCCAAATACAAATATGTGAATATTTGGGCAGTGTCTAAAAAGCCACAAATTATATTTTCACCATTTTCAGAATGATCCATAATCCCCATATACATGAAATTGAAACGGTCTTTAGACAATTTCAGTTTTAAACAACTGAACAATGTGCTTCAGAAGTAGTTTTGTTGAAGTGGTAGATGACTTTAGCGGACAGAAGCCAGCTGCAACAAAGAGAGGAAGCCTGGTTCATTAAGGTCTAACGTCTGGTAAATGCCCCCAGTTGGGAGAGACAGCCCCTCCATGGGTCTCTCCTTCACATCTTGCTGAATATGCCAAGAAGGCGACGCCCTAGGCATTTCTCAAAGTTGCGTGTGTAGTGAGCCACTTTGAAAAATGAGACGATGTCTCCCTTGAGACAAAAAGACGACTTCCGCCGGGCGCGGTGGCTCAAGCCTGTAATCCCAGCACTTTGGGAGGCCGAGGCGGGTGGATCACGAGGTCAAGAGATCGAGACCATCCTGGTCAACATGGTGAAACCCCGTCTCTACTAAAAATACAAAAAATGAGCTGGGCATGGTGGCGCGTGCCTGTAATCCCAGCTACTCAGGAGGCTGAGGCAAGAGAATTGCCTGAACCCAGGAGGCGAAGGTTGCGGTGAGCCGAGACCGTGCCATTGCACTCCAGCCTGGGTAACAAGAGTGAAACTCCATCTCAAAAAAAAAAAAAAAAAAAAGACGACTTCCTTATGTGTGGCTATAAAACGGCAGATTCCGCAAGCTCAGAGCTCTTTTCCTGTGATAATTCCTGCCTGTTGTAGGAACGACTAACCCTTCACAATAGGGGCAGCAAAATGGCCTGGGGCAGCATACTATGGACCTTTTAGCAGTGGTGCTTCCTGTTTGAAAAGATACGCTTATTGCATATATAAAATAATAACCTCTACTATTACCAGCCCCCAGACAGCTAATCTGAAGCAGTTTAATTCCCTGTAATCACGAGATGGGGTCACCCTTGATTAGTACCAGGTGATTCAAAATAGATTCCAAGCCTCCATCCAGAAGCAAATAGCCCAGTGCTTGATTGATCTGTTTGGATTTCAGCGTGGGGACTTTATTGAGTACTATCTACCAAGCAACTAGAAAAGAAACAAACTGGTCAGGTGTGGTGGCTCATGCCTGTAATCCCAGCACTTTGGGAGGCTGAGGCAGGCAGATCACCTGAGGTCAGGAGTCTGAGACCAGACAGGCAGACATGGCAAAACCCAGTCTCAACTAAAAATAAGAAAAATTAGCTGAGAGTGGTGGTGCATGCCTGTAATCCCCGCTATTCAGGAGGCTGAGGCAGGAGAATCGCTTTAACCTAGGAGGCAGAGGTTGCAGTGACCCGAGATTGCGCCACGTACTCCAGCCCCCAGTGACAGAGTGAGACTCTGTCCCCCCACAAAAAAAGAAAAAGAAAAAGAAAAAAAGAATCAAACTGTGCTTATCTCTGGAATGATCATGCATTTAGCACAGAATAAAAAATTGGGCCGGGAGCAGTGGCTCAAGCCTGTAATCCCAGCACTTTGGGAGGCCGAGGCGGGTGGATCACGAGGTCGAGAGATCGAGACCATCCTGGTCAACACGGTGAAACCTCATCTCTACTAAAAATACAAAAAATTAGCTGGGCATGGTGGCACGTGCCTGTAATCCCAGCTACTCAGGAGGCTGAGGCAGGAGAATTGCCTGAACCCAGGAGGCAGAGGTTGCGGTGAGCCAAGATCGGGCCATTGCACTCCAGCCTGGGTAACAAGAGCAAAAACTCTGTCTCAAAAAAAAAAAAAAAAAAAAAATTGGACAAGGATGTGGTGTTTGAATATATGCAAAAGTTTGAATATTTGCACTCAAGGTCTCTGTTTTATAGCTTGCTAAATTTAAATTCTCTGAGTCTGTTGTATATGAGGATGTTACAGGACCAAAAATATATATGAAACTTACTTATAAAGGTACTCTAGGATTTCTAAATTCAGTGTGATACAGATTACATACAAACATGCAATGTGTTATGTGAATTCGTTTTGTGGGACCTGGGCAATACTATGGACCATAGAAATTGCTCCATGTCAACTTTTTGAGTAGTTTTAGAAATCTGTGTTAATTCTTGATATTATTTAGATTATATTTTAGATACTTGTAATTGGCTTTGGGAAGTTAGACTAATAAAACACTGATTGATGAATATTTCTGTTTCATTAAAGATCATATACGGGATTCTACTTGTATGAAATTCTGAGATAGTGCTTAGTGTTCCCCTAGAAGAAAGCTAAAATTTTGTTTTTTGTGTTTTGTTTGTTTGTTTGTTTTCAGGCAGATGGGGCAGTTGTCAGTGAAAGTGATAAGGGGGTAGTCTGGACTTGCATATTTAGGAATCAATTCCAGATGTCTGGCCAGATGGTAATAAAGAGAAACACATGCTTTAATAAGGCAATATATAGTGCAGCACATTAAAGGCTATTACAGGAGAAATTTAGTAAGTTTTTCTACAAGAACAAGAAAAAAAGAAACCTAATTAAATCAAACGTTAAATAACCTCAGAAAATCTTCATGAAAGAAGTTCTACTCAAGTCCTCATTTGAAACAATATAATGCACATCCCTAGCATCCTGTCTTAGTATCTCATATTATTTTTCCACTTCTGAGATAATTGTAATTGCAAATTCTCCTCGGGGATACTTATGTATCTGCCTTCTTTTCTGACTGTGGGGTGCCCCCAGACTTTCTGTTCTTGACTATGGTCAAGCCCTTTGGATGTTAAATTCAGGAACAAATTTATCTTCCTTGAGAATTAAATGAATGGATGTACAGATAGATAGATAGATAGATAGATAGATAGATAGATAGATCTATATATATGTAAATATATATATGTATGTATATATACACACATATATAAATAAATAAATAAATATATATATATATATGCATAAAATATATATATTTTTTAAGACAGGTCTTGCTCTGTCACCCAGGCTAAAGTGCAGTGGTATGATTATGGCTTGCTGCAGCCCCTACCTCCCAGGCTCAAGCGACCCTCCCACCTCAGCCTCACAAGAAGCTGAGACTAGAGGCAGGTGCCACCACACCCACTATTTTTTAAATGTTTTGTAGAGACAGGGTCTCCCTATGTTGCCCAGGCTGGTTTCGCACTCCTGGGCTCAAGCGATCCTCCCACCTTGGCCTCCTAAAGTGCTTGGATTACAGGCATGAGCCATTGTGCCTGGCCTTTGAATTTATATATTTTTCAGGAAAGCTGGTCCAGAGTTTCCTGGTGTCCTTTATAGGTCTGGTTTCCTGGACTCTGGAGATTGTTAGTGTTGGTTTTCCTCTAGCATATTTTTAAAGATCAAAACGGGATTTCACTGGGTTAGACTATTATTACTTTTATCAGGAAAAGGAAGGGGTAACAGAGGGTAAGTCAGAGACAGAAAATGGCTATGCTCCAAGCAAAAGTAGCCTTTTCACCTCCAGTAACTTTCGAGACCTCTTCTGCACTATGAAACAAATTTCATAATTTAGACTCAGACTACTATCTTTATTTAAGGAACTTCCCAGTAGGAAAATATTTTTATTTTTCCACAACGATACACTATTTGACAAAAACAGAGAATAAGAATTACCTCCTTTAAAAAATAAAGAGAATAATAACAAATTAATGTATTGGTATCATACACCCGGAATATCAAGACATAGGTTGCCAAAAAATCAGAGAAAGGCTGTGCATATCAGAAAAATAAAATAACCAACAAACACAAACATAAAAGAAACTAGAAAGAAAAAGTCCAAGTTAAAGCAGAAAAATGTGCTATATGAATTTTTTTAAATTATGAAGTACTTTAACGACAGAGTACTTGAGGACAGATGAAGAACCTCCTATAATAATCATCAGGATCTGAATAATAAACTAAAATAGTCCCCTTGGTACACTGTAAAGTATGCAATTTTAATTATGTGATTTTTCTAGCTAATTTCTGCTTCAAAAACAGTAAAGTACTTCTGCTTACAAGGTGGCGGAGACAAGAACTTTTCTCAACCTCTCAAATGTACGTTGTCATCAAAATTTGAATTACCAGAAACATGCCTTTTAGTTAAATTACAATTAGTCCTTAGACAGATCTATTTACTGAGAACTTGCTATGTGCCCAACACTGTTGGCATATACTAAACAACAGTTTGCTTTTGTAAAGCACTTTTTCCTTTTCAGGTTCTCACAAAGGACATTTTAAAACAAACCATATTTGTTTTTTCAGTATTAGCTGCACATGCTGAATACATCTATTATTATAAATTGCTCCTACTTGGAGCATCTTAGCTTTTAAAAGACAAAAATATATTCAGTTGTATTTGTGTATATATATTTTATATTGGTTATATATGGAAGTCAATCAATAATGATAAATACAAACAGACTGACAAAATCAACAATTTTGGGGGAATGGAAATGGCACACTTGTCAGATGATATCCACAAATAATTAATTACTTCACACATTACAGATATTCTCTTAATAGTAGAGTCTCTTATAAAAGGATGCTCATTACATTCTAACCATCTGTCATCATTCTTCCCCAAAAAACTAATTAGAGTTTCATCCAATCACACATTATAAAGGACATAAATATGGATGGTAAAGTTACAGGTTAAAGAAGTTAATATAAGAACATTTGAAGTTTAAAAATCATGGGCTTCAGAACCAGGCTTTCTGAAGGAACCAGCAGTTCCAATAATTAAACTGCTTATTTTTATCATCTTTTTTGGATTAATGATTAGATATTAAACTTTAAAAATTAAAACAACTTACAGGTAGTAGAGTTTTCCTGCAGCAGGAAGTTCCCTTTTCCGGTAATCTATGCCAGAATCTAGCTGGATTGTATTACAGTATTCCTACAATCCAAACATATAAAGTATCTTTTTAAACAAGTAGTGGTTCAGAATTACAATCCTTCCCTTATACTATACATATTTAAATTTTTCAAATGTTTCCTCAAAAAATAATATGAGTGACAAGAAAACAATAGAACTCATGCAAGATTACTAAAGTTGCAATATTAAATATATCAAGCCATTGAAATATCAGTTTAAAAAAATTAAAATTTGCATCATGTTTTCTGAAACATTGCCCAAATAGTGCTGTTATCAAATTCCCCAAATAACCTCATTTGGGTTTTTTTCAAATAGCCCAATTTTCTAATACCCTGGAGTAAGAAACTAGAGGCTACCAGAAAGAATAACTCATGGGTCTTCAGCACCACAGTGGGAGAGAGGCAGCATAAGAAAGCTGGAGCTGGACGTGGTGGCTCACATCTGTAATTCCAGCCCTTTGGGAGGCTGAGACAGGTGGATTGTGTGAGCCTAAGAGTTTGGGACCAGCCTGGGCAACACAGCAAAACCCATCTCTACAAAAAACACAAAAATTAGCTAGGTGTGGTGGCACATGTCTGTAGTCTCGACTACTTGGCAGGCTGAGGTGTGAGGATCCCTTGAGTCTCGGAGCCGGAGGTTGCAATGAGCAATGATCATGCCACTGCACTCCAGACTGTGCAACAGAGCAAGAACCTGTCTCAAAAAAAAAAAAAAAAAAAAAAAAGAGAGAGAGAGAGAGAGAGAGGGAGAGAGAGAGACAGGTTCTTGCTCTGTTGCACAGTCTGGAGTACAGTGGCATGATCATAGCCAGGCACAGTGGCTCAAGCCTGTAATCCTAGCACTTTGGGAGGCCGAGGTGGGTGGATCACCTGAGGTCAGGAGTTCAAGACCAGCCTGGCCATCATGGTGAAACCCCATCTTTAAAAAAATAAAAAATAAAAATAAATAGAGAAAGAGAGAGAGAGAGAGAGTTGGGACAGAACATTAGTGTCCACATTTTAAACCAAATGACCAAACTAGAATGATGTTCTAGTTACGTCCAGCCTTCGCTTCTAAATGGCTGCCACTGCCCTTGTCTCCCTTTTAGTTTCCTCTCTGCTCATCAACATTTCCGTGTACTTTCCTGCTGTGGGTGCCTCTTTTCAACCCAAGTCATCCTGTGCCACTAATGTCCTTCTCTTCTCCCAAGTACTTCTTTCTTTCCATTCCCTCAGGGTGCGTATGTGCACACAAGCACATACACCACACACACACACACACACACATACACACACACACACATACACACACCCCCCAAATTCTTACTGAGAGGGCGAATGTACTTTTGTAACACCTATCTTCTTGGTCAGTTGGATTTTGGAGGCCATGAGAGGAATATATGTAGAGGGAGGGTGTGTGTGCGTGTGTGTGTGTGTGTGTGTGTGTGTGTGTATCTCTACATAGATAGAGGCATACCTCATTTTATTGTGTTTCCCTTTCTTGTGCTTCTCAAAATACTGCACTTTTTTATAAAGTGATGGTTTCCGGCAACCCTGCATGAAGCAAGCCTACTGGCTTCAATTTTCCAACATCGGTGCTCACTTTGTGTCTCTGTCACATTTTGGTAATTCTTGTAATATTTCAAACTTTTAAAAATTATATTTGTCATTAATAATATGATCAGTGATCATATGTTAATTATGTGACCAGTGATCTTTGACACCATTACTGTAATTGTTTTAGGGCACCACAAACTGCACCCATAGAAGAGGTTAAACTAAATTTATACATGCTGTTTGCATTCTGACTGCTCCACCAACTGTCCGTTCCTCTCCCTCTCTTTCTTCTCTCTCTCTGTCTCTCTGTCTCTCTCTCTCTTTCTTCTTAGGTGTCCCTATTCTCTGAGAAACAAGAATATTGAAATTATGTCAATTAATAACCAACCCTACAATGGCCTCTAAGTGCTCAGGTGAAAGGAAGAGTCACACATCTCTCACTTTCAATCAAAAGCTAGAAATGATTGAGTTTAGTAAGGAAGGTATGTCAAAAGCCAAAACAGACAAAAACCTAGACCTCTTGTACCAAAAAGTTATCTGAGCTGTGATTGCAAAGGAAAAATTCTTGAAGGAAATGAAAAGTGCTACTCCAGTGAAAAAATGAACAGTAAGAAGAAAGCGAAATAGCTTTATTATTGACATGGAGAAAAGTTTGAGTGATCTGGATAGAAGATCAAAACAGCCACAACATTTCCTTAAGCCAAAGGCTAATCCAGAGCAAGGTCCTAATTCCCTTCAATTCTATGAAGGTTGAGAGAGGTGGGGAAGCTGCAGAAGAAAAGCTGGAAGCTAGCAGGGGTTGGTTCATGAGGTTTCAAGAAATAAGTTATCTCTATAACATAAAAGTGCAAGGTAAATCAGCAAGTGCAGATGGAAAAGGTGCAGCAAATTATCTAGAAGACTTAAGATCATCGATGAAGATGACTACACTAAACAATAGATTTTCACTGTAGATGAAACACCCTTCTACCAGAAGACGCCAACTAGGACTTTCATAGCTAGAGAGGAGAAGTCAATGCCTGGCTTCAAAGCTTCAAAGGACAGACTAACTCTCTTGCTAGAGGCTAATGCAGCTGGTGACTTGATTTACCAATCTGAAAATCCTAGGGCCCTTAAGAATTATGCTACGTCTACTCTGCCTGTGCTCTATAAATGAAATAACAAAGCTCATGGATGGCAGCACATCTGTTTACAGTATGGTTTACTAAATATTTTAAGCCTACTTTGGAGAGCTACTGCTTAGAAGAAAGATTATTTTCAAAAGATTACTGCTCATGGCAATGCACCTGGTCATCCAAGAGCTCTGATGGAGGTGCACAAGGAGATAAATGTTGTTGTTCCCTGCCTGCTAACACAACATCCATTCTCATTCTGCAGCCCATGAATCAAGAAGTAATTTCAACTTACAAGTCTTCTTATTTAAGAAATACACTTTAAGGCTATATCTGCCATAAATATCTTTTGTGAAAGGAAGAGCCAATCTATATAGCAACATTCAACACTATCTTAGGAAACTGCCACAGCCACTCCAATCTTTAGCAGCCACCACCCTGATTAGTCAGCAGCCACCAACATCAAGGCAAGACCAGCAAAAAGATGACCACTCACTGAAGGTTCAGATGATTATTAGCATTTTAGCAATAAAATATTTTTTAAATTAAAGATTTTTTAGACATAATGCTATTGCATACTTAATAGACTACAGTATAGTAGAAATACAACTTTTAGATGCACTGGGAAACCAAAAAGTTCCTGCAACTCACTTTATTGCAATACTGTTTTATTGCAGTAGCCTAGAACCAAACCCTCGATATCTCCAAGGTATGACTGTATAGATACATGTAGATGATTGACAGATAGATAGATAGATAGATAGATAGATAGATAGATAGATAGATAGACAGACAGGCAGGGAGATATTCACTTCAGTAGAAGAATGGTGATCAAGAGATTTTAGGAGAAGTCAAGAAACAACTATAGGCTGACATTTTGTTTGCCTTCAAAATGAAAATTGCCTTAATAAAAATTCATGGGAAAAACCATATTTTAACATCACTACTTTTATTAATGAAAAAGTGCATTTTTGTTTTTAAACAGAGTCTTGCTCTGTTGCCCAGGCTGGAGTGCAGTAGCATGATCTCAGCTCACTGCAACCTTCGCCTCTTAGATTCAAACAATTTTTTTGCCTCAGCCTCTTGAGTAGCTGGGACTATCGGCATGAGTGACCATGCCTGGCTAATTTTTGTATTTTTAATAGAGACAAGATTTTGTCCTGTTGTCCAAGCTGGTCTTGAACTCCTAGCCTTAAGTGATCTGCTCTCCTCAGCCTCCCAAAGTGCTGGGATTACAAGCAGGAGCCACCACGCCCAGTCAAAAACTGTATTTTTCAAATCTTTGGAATCAAGATATAACTGTGGTGGATTTTAAGACTTGTACATTGTAAAATAATCTCTTCATCCCAACATGCTCTTCTTACAATGTGATGTTGATATTCCAGTTATCAAGAAGTGAAGTCTGTCTATGTTCCACCCCTTGAATGTTGTGACTATGATGGAAATGGGCTATGCAATAATATCCTAGGTGACACTTAAGGCAGCTTCTTATTGGTTGGAATGCTTGCTCCAGAACTCTGAAGTGCCAAGTGGGCATTTAATTGCCTGGAGGCTATTAAGCTGTGAGAAAGCTTAAACTATATCATACAGAGAGAGGAGGCCCTGGAGAGGCACTGAGATGACATGAAGACAGAGGTGATGACAGTCTCCAGCTGTTCTAGCTGTAGCCACCATCTTACTGAGGAAGCCAGAATTGCCACCTGAACCTTTACCAAATCCCTGATCCACAGAAACCAGGAGAGAACAAAGTAATGTTTTTAAAGCCTCTTTTACAGTCATTTTACAGTAATGTGTTATGCAGCAAGAGATAATCAGAACAGCAATATTTGGGCACACTTGAAAAGTAGCAATGTTCTTCCTCCCTGAAAGAGCATCCTGGGTTGTACTGTTATACCAGGGTTGAGGGCTGTTTATCACCTGCATCCAGAGCACAAATTGCACTTCCCCTCCCCCCATGCTGCTGCTAAGGGACTCAGGAGAGTAAAATAGGGTGACCAACAATCCCCTGGGAATAAGGGGTTTCGCCAAGACTGAGGCGAGTTTCTGGATACAGAACTTTCAGTGCTAACACTAGGACAATCCTAGACAATCTGGGATGGTTGGCTACCCTGAGTGAAGACCCAGAGGACTGGGTTGTGGCTAGTGTAGGAATAGCATTTTGATTATATATTAGCAATTCTGAACTTGATTAGCATAAAATAACACCCAAGAAGCTGGTCCTCTAGGGAGGCCTACAAACATAAGCTTTTGAATTAACATTTGAAGAACAGCCCTGAAAAACTAGCAAAAGTCATGGCTCCCTGCAATGCTGGCATAAGCAACCTGTTGGCAATTCCATAAAGACATCCCTAGCTCATCATTCCAAGTTGTCCAA